GCTCAGAGATATTAAGTACTGTAACTTGCTCATGGTCAAGTCCAGCAGTTCAAAACCAAAGTCTGAGCTCTTCATCACTCTTTGAGGGCTGTTTCCACCCCCATTCCGTGGTGCTAGGGATTGAACCTAGGGCCTTGAGCATACTAGGTAAGCTCTCTACCACTGAGCTACATCCTTAGCTCTTTGCATCTTAAAATAGGGTCTTGCTAAGTTGGCCAGGTGGCCTTGAACTCAGGATCCTCCTGCCTCAGGCTCCTGAGTGCTGGGATTACATGTGTGTGCCACCATACCCAGATGAGCACCACCCATGGTCTCTAATGGAACTCTTGGTTCTCCTTTTCTGGCTCAGCTTGCTCTCCCAAACTCTGTATCTTCACACTCAAGCCTCTTTAAAGTGCTTCTTCCTTCGTCTTGAATTGGCAAACTCCTATTCATCCCTTTAAATCCAGTTCAGAAAGCCCCCTCTTGATCTCCTCTAGGGACTCATTTCACCCTGACCTCTAAACTGTTCCCTAGTTCATGGTGAAATTCCCCAATCTTCTAACCCCAGTTCAGAATTGCAGTTGCTTTAGGTGAGCTGGTATCTCAACCTCAGCAGGTTCTAAGGGATGAGCTGCTTCTTCTACATAAAAAAATAAGACATGCTGGGCATCATGGCACACACCAGTAATCCCAGCATTGGGGAAGCTGAGGCAGGAGGATCACTGAGAGTTCAAAGCCAGCCTGGACTACATAATGAATTCAAGGCCAGCCTGAACAACATAGCAAGACCTTCTCCAAAAAAAAAAAAAAAAAAAAGACAGCCAAGCAGAAAGTGCCTAGTCTGGTGTCTGGCACACAGTCAGCAATCAATAGTAGGTTATGGAATTGCTTTCGCATTCCCACGAAGTGACTGGCAATGCACCACCACCCCATTTCTTTGGCTTCTCAGAGGAACCCTGGGGCCTGGCCTGGGTTTGCTGCCCAATTGTGCAGGGGTTTGGAATACAGACTTAGAAAAGGACTTTCTCAAGGGGGAAAGGCATAGTACTACAGCTCTAGTGTGGGAGGCTTGAATCCAACCTCCCCTAAGAAGACCCTCGAAACTCCATTTCCAAAGTTAGCCTTCTGGGAAGAAAAGCAAAGGGTACAAAAATCAGCAGGGACAGTAACGTGTCCATCACCGATGCAATTCCCAAGGAAAGAGTTTTAGCTCATTTTCCACCCTCTGCCAAACTGCTTTACCAGTGCCCAAATGCACCCTGCACTTTTAGAAGCTCTGCACACCATGCCAGGGGTCACAGTGCACACAAGGCTGCATGGACGGGAGGAAAGTCAGTAGCTGCAAGGATGAGGAAAGGAAAAAAGGAATTATATCACAACAATTTCCTTGTTCAAGGAGAGAAAGAGGAAAAGAAAAAAAACTATGAAGACATTTCAAATGTTAAGACAAAAACTCAACAAGTAAAAATGTGCAAGACAGCGCATGTACCAGAAAGTGGAAGACTGAGTATGCATGTGCACAGGTGTGCTGTGAGTGTGTAACAGCGGATTTCTGAGCACTGGCTGGAGTGGGAGCCAGAGCTGGCAAGAGGGGTTGAAGACAAGTGAGTGGGGCTGCGTGAGGGTGGGGGTGAGCTGCGTGGGGCTGGAGATGGGAGGCAGGAACATGCAGCGGGTACACTGCCTGTAAGCACAGGACTGTCCTGGGGTAGCCATACCTGCTCTTTTCGGAAGCCCTAGCCTCATTCACATAACCTGTAAAAAACAGGTATTTTTATGCTCCTTGAAGCAAGAGTTCATAAGGAACCAAACATAGAATTTCCTTAGGTTTCTTGTCAGACTGCTCTAGACCGATCGGAGCCCTGATGCCTCTCAAAGGATCTGACCGGATTCTTCATTCTGGAACTACCAACCCCTTTTCCAGGCCTCCCTCCTACCCCAACACTTCCTTTGATTCTCAGGCCAGATCTGGCGCTAAGTCACCCCAGATCACTGGCCTTGCCCCTTCACAAGCCAACGTGGAGCCTGGGTCAACAATACTCAGCAATCCAGCCTCCGGGGCCGGGCTGTACTGTCCTGGGGCACCTGGAGAATCAATCCCCTAGCACTGGCAGCCTCCCTCTCATTTCACTGCCCAAGCAGGTACAGCTACCACCCCCCACCTGCTCCAACTCCAACTCCCGGGCCAGCACTGGGGGAGAAGGACGAGACCCTCCCCTCCCAGGGGTGGAGGAACCAGAGGGGCAGCATTCCAGAGAGGTGGGGGAGGGGCCGCAAAGAGGGGGTGCAGAGACAAGTGCAAGACAGGGGTGGGGGGCACACAGGAAGGGGCACAGAGTCCTGAGGGTAAAGAACAGAGACCCGAGGAGGGAACAGGAAGACCCAGCAGGAGAACAAGGCGACCCGGGGTAAAGACAACAGGGGGACCTAGGTAGAGAACAGGGAGGCCCAGGAGAGAACAGGAGAGAAGGGAGACACCCGGAGGAGCAAGGCTGCAGCTAGAAAGACCCTGGGACCGCAGGGTGAGACTGGGAGGCAGAGACACCGGGAGGCCAACTCCGAGGGGAAAAGAAGTAGAGACGAAGACGCAGTCACGGTAACTGGGGACCGGGCACACCGGGATGGAACAGGGCGCAGGGCGGCGACGGACTGAACTTTCGGAGCGGGTGCGAGCTGACACGTCCTCCCGGGGCAGGTCGCTCCGGGGCCTTCGGGGCGCCGCCGCCCTGGCCCCTCCCGGGCCCACGCTCGAGCCCGAGGGGGCGGGGGCCGCAAACTCGCGCCGGGCGGGTCCCGGGACCGCACGTGCGCCGGGATAGCCAGGAATCAGGGGCGCGTCGGCTGCCGGGCGTCCGACGGCGGGGTGGGGTGGGGTGGGGTGGGGCCGGCCCGGACCTGCTCCGGCCGGGGGGCAGTGGGAGGCCGAGGGCCGCCCCCGAAGCTCGTCCGCGTCCGCGTCGGAAGGTGGAGGCGAGGCGGGCCGAGGCGGGGAGCGCCCCTGCGAAAGGAAACTTTGGGGGGGCTGCGGCTCAGGTGCGGAGGGAGGGGCTCGCCCGCCGCGGCGGTGGGGGCGCGTCTGCCGCGGGGTAAACGAGGAGCCGCCAGGCCTGGGGGGCCGCGCCGAGACTGCGGGCGCGGCAGGTGGGGGCGCGGCCCGGCCTCCGCGGCGCCCCCGGCCCCCCGGGACCGCCCCCGGGTCCGCGCGGTGGACGCGGGGGTAGGGCGTGGAGCGCGGTGAAGGGACCGGCGCGGAGGAGCCGGAGAGGGCCGGGTTCCACTCACCGCCCATCCAGGGGCCGTCGGTCCGCATGTCCCTCCGCACCGCCGAGGCCGCCGCTCCCGCCACCTGGTCCTGGTCCTGCTCCCGCCACCGCCGCCCAAGCTGGAGCCGGAGCTGGAGCCGGAGCTGGAGCCCGAGCCGCCGCCTGTGCCGCCTCTGCCGCTGCTGCTGTCGCTCCCGCGCCAGCCCCGGCCGCGCGCCCCCGCTCGCGCCCGCGCCCGCTCCCCTGCCCCTGCCGTGCGCGCCCCCGGCGCCGCCCCTCCCCGCGTGCACTCTCTAGAGCCGAGGAGCCGCGCAGGCCGGGAGAGGCCACAACCCAGCCCCGAGTCTAAATCCACCGCAACGCCAATTTTGATTTTGAACCCCAGGCATGAGCATGGGCAGACCCCAACTTCGATACTAAGTCTAGACCCTTCTAGTAGCTCCCAAATCCCAGTATGATTTATTATAGTAGTATAATAAATACTATAAAATATATTACACTTATACTATTCTAGGACTCCCGTTGCCTCCCCATACCGATCTAAACCTGATACTGAGCTCAGACCCACCTTAAATCCTGTATTGGGTCCAAACCCATAAATCTGTTTTGAAATTGGCACAATAGTAATTTTTTTCTGAAACCCTATACTGTATGGCCCCAAATTCGATTCTGACCCTAAACCCCTTCATTACTTCGACTGCCCTAAGCTTGATAGTGACACTGGCACAACCCTGGGCCCTGAAGGTACTCTAGTACCAATGCTGAGGCCCCCATCCCTAAATGAGCCCTCCTGTCCAACAGCTACCTTCCTCTGGATCCCAATACACTTCTGAACTACAAGCCTTAAATAAGAACACCATACTTTCATTCCCAGGTCAACACCAACACACTTTCTGAATCTGCATTCTCAATTTCAACTCCAGACTTGGGTCAATCAAAAAGGACCCCTAACATAGATACTGACCTCAAATCCCACCTATCTTTGTGACTATTTAGGACCCTAATCGGACCCAACTCTAACAATAATCTGGACTGCTGGCATTACAGGCAAGCTCCACCTCTCCAGCTCTAATGATCGTGAAACCCAGGATGGGCACATTGGCTTTGCAGAAGCTCCACACAAGGCCCACACTCACCCTCTTCTGACCTCGTATCAGCCCTAATCAGAGGTTGGCTAACGCCCCAGTATTTACACTAATTCCAACTAGTACAAATTGGTCCTTGAATTCAACACTTGATAGTGCCCCCAGACAGAATATAGACCTTGGTATTGAGTTTCTGACTCCTCACATCAAACTTAAATGCTGACCCCATGAATTTCTGGACTACACCAAGAACCTACCTGGAGATTTAATCCAACTCCCAGTGCTCATAGAATTGGTAAGCCCTAAACAAAGAGACAATCTTGGAACCAAAGCCCCTGCCTTCAGAGTCCCCTGTCCCAGTCCACGCTACCATCACAAAGCTACACCAGCCCCTTCCTGTCCCCAACCCAACCCCACCCCATCCCTGGCCAGTTAGGCTTTCTACTAGAGGAGGAGGGAAATGCCACCACTGCCTTGGTTCAGGTGAGACTGTCAGGTTTCTGGTCTTTTGTGGGGTCTGACTGATACAGACGGAGGTATTTTTTGTTTTGTTTTGTTTTATTTTGAAAAAGGGTTTCATTATGTTGTGCAGGATGTCCTTGAACTCTTTAGGTAGCCCAAACTGGCCTTGAACTTGCAGGTTTCTCCTATCCTCAGCCTCCTGAGTGCTGGGATTACAGGGGTGTGTCACCATACCCAGCCTCAGGGAATATGAAGTCAAGTGAGAAATAAAACAAAACGTGAGGATTGTCAAGGTACCTGGACAATGATTACGTGGTAGTGTGCAGGGCAAGGTTGTCCTGAGTTCAGGGATCTGGCTGGTTATCACCTAATTCACAGCCTGCTTCTGTCCTGAACTTGGATTCAGAAGCAGTGCGTGTGCGCCCCCTGGTGTGTGAGAAGGGCGTGAGGCCGGCTCCAGTGATTCTGGGTAGACAACTTGGTCAGGGTGACAAACTGATCAAAAATGAATACTCTGTCCAGTGGTTTTTCAACCATTGGTAATTTTGGTGTGCCATGGGCGAGCTACTGCAAGTTTTATGCACCTCTAGGCATTTTGGGGGCCTATTTTTTATAACTTTGATGGTTCATCACCCTACCCTCATTTTAAAAAGTATATTTTTCAGCCAATTATGCCCGCTCATTGCTGACTAATGAAAACAGCCCTTCCCCTTGGCTTCACTGCCCCACACTACTCATTGGCTACTCTTTCTCTAACTCCTTTGCTGTCTCCTCGTCAGCAGTTCTGGGACTGTTAGGCCTCCCCTTTTCTCACTCAGCCCCCTTTCCCTGGACTGTCTGAACTATTATCAGCCACAGGGAGATGACTTCCAAATCTTCACCTCCAGTCTAGGACTCTCATCTGAGCTCCGGATTTAAATACCAAGAACTTTCTCTGTATCACTCCCTGGATGTCCCCCAGGTAAACAGAATCCACATCTTCCCCACCCTGGTCTGCTCTCCTTGATCCTAGGCAGTGACATCCTCGGTCATTCAGCCACTGGCCCAGAAATGCAGAGACCGTCTCTCTGGCACCCCTGTCCAGTCACCAGTCCTGCAGACTTTGAAAATAAAAGGAGGGGGCCGGGGATTTAGCTCAGTGGTTCTGGCAGCTGCCTCGCAAGCGCAAGGTCCCAAGTTCGATCCCCGGTACCAAAAAAAAAAAAGAAAGAAAATAAAAGGTGGGCCAAGGATTTAGCTCAGTGGCACTGTGCATACCATCCCCAGTACCAAAAAAAAGAAAGAAAAAGAAAAGAAAAGGAGGCAACAAACCATGTGGCTTCAGGTTTCGGTTCACGCAAAGCCAAACTGGTCATAGACTCTCCTGTGCATTGCCATTCAATGATGCCCCTTGAGACCTGCTCTACCTTGAGTGGGTTTCGGTACCATGGAACCAGCACCTCTTTAGAACCATCACTTCCTCCAGGAAGCTATACCTAAGCCCTGGGCTGGGTTAGGGCTTTACCCACCTCATCTCTAATCCTTGGGGATTAGAATCCGAATCTGTGTTCCTGTCTCCCACTTACAGTCCATGGTTTCCTTGAGGATAGGAAGAATGAATCTGCCTTTTCCACTGCCATATTCCCATGTCCAGCACAGGGGCCTGACACATACTTGGTGCATGTTACATGTTTGTTAAAGGGATGAAAAGGTGGATTTCTCCCTTCTTTGCTCAAGGAACCACCAGACATGAATGATCAGGTGAAAGAAGAGCTCCCTGACCAATCCTTACAACTTGTCCAGACTCTCTTCTGTGGGTTTGCCACATGCTGGAAGAGGAGTTTATGATGTCTTCCACCCCATGTACCTGCTAACCTGGGCCTCAATAGGTCTGATATTCTGGCAGTTCTGTCCCTCTGTGCAGTGCTTCCCAGCCTGGTGACCCTAACACTTGCAAGGTAAGAGGGTGGGACACCTGCACCCTGTGGTGGATGTGGCAGGCTGCTCACTGCTGTGCTGCCCAGATACTTGCTCCAAGCCCCCACACCCTCACAGAGGTCTCAGAATCTCATCCCACAGGTCGCTAGCCCTCTGCTTACCATCTTGGTCCCTGTGTGGCAAGGTGCGTGTGAAGGCAAGGCAGGAGAATGCCCATGAGGAGAGCGAAGGATTCAGATCTCAACATCTACCGCACATGGAACTAACTGGACACAAACCCCGGGAAATGAAGCCAAAGGCCCACATTGTGGGGCCACATTTCAAGAAACTCAGGTGGCTGGGCATAGGAGCACTTAAGAGTGCGTGAAGGAACCGAGCCACAGCTCTGTCCAGATTGCCAAACTGTGAGCATAAGGTCCACGGGGGGCTGCCCTGCTGCCCTGTTCCTGGGCCTGGCAGGGAGGGATGTCCTTGTGCTCATCTGTGAAGGCCGAGTGGCATCACGTGTTCCAGCCCCAGGGTGCAGGGTGAGGGGAGAACCAGATGTCACTTCCCATTCCCGGTTCACCCTTTGTCCAGGGCCTGGGCCCACTGGGCATCCCTGAAACTTGTGACATCAATGCATCTCTTAGTCATCTCTTAGATGGTCTAAATCAAATTAAATTCAGCTTGAATCTCCACCCACCAGATCGGTGAGATTTCTATGTCACTGCAGCTCCCCTCCCCCTCCCTCCAGAAGTCCAAGGACTCCAGGGGTTTGCATAGCCTATGAGGGTCAGTCTGCTCCAGCGCCCAGCAGGGAAACACTGAAGTACTTTTCAGTGGCTGTGGCAGGTATCAGCCATCTCTCCACCGGGGCTTCCGCTCTTCCTCTCTCTGGAAGGCCTCACTTGTCCAGCCTGGTCCTTGGGCTCTCTCAAGGGTGCCTCTTCTATAGACTCCCAGAGTCACAGCCCTTAGTCTTTGGCACTTTCTGTCACACACAGCCACTTTCTGAGGGTGGTGGTGGGGTGGAGAATGCTGTTTTTCTGCCTTTCTCCATCTGGATGGTCAGCTCCCTAGGACACAGTACTGTGTTCCCTCAGAGTTATCATAAAAAGCTTAGACACCAGAACTATAAAACAGATTGTTTACCTTCCCAGGTACACCGCTTATCTCCCAGGATGAGAGAGAAAAGGCCAAGGCCTTAGAGCACAAAGGCCTGGCTAGAGCCTTTCGTTTCTTCTGGATGAGTCACTATGTGGGGGGGGGGGGGTGATATAGGAGCTAATTTTTCAATAGAACAAGTTTTTGAGCTCACGACACTTTGAGAAAACAGAAGCCACCATGGCAGAACTCTCTCACGTCCCCACTACCAAATCTGCAAAGCCACCCACACTGCTCCTTCCTCTGTCTTCATTCTGGCTGCAAGGAGAACGGAACTCGCCCTCTAGCAGAGGCTGATGCCTCTGTGCTCCAGACATTCTGGCTTCCCCAGGACTTTGCTTCCCTGGTCTCCAAGCACTGCATCTTTCACTACATCATTCCCAGCACTTCCCGGTCACCCCCCCCCCGCCCCCCGCAAGCCAGGTTCCGTCCTGCAGGGGACAGGGGAAGGGGACGTTACCAGAACTTCTGCAGTGAGTTCTGGTCTCCTGCGAGCCACGGCAGCACACGGCGAATTACAGGAAAGGTAGACAAATGAGACTGAGAAGAAGCTGAGCTTTGGGTCTGATCAGTGCTGCTCTAGACAGCAAAGACCCAAGCCCCCAGCTTACCACACCTTTATTCAGTACCTCGGGAGAAACAAATGTAACAAATGACTTGCAGAGAGTTCAATAGTTCACATTGGGATAAACAAGGTGTAACGGAAGGCTTGCAGAGAGTTCAGTACATCTCCGGCAAACAAGATGTTAATCAGTCCAAGAACAATGAGGAATTGAGCAGATGTTTGTTCTCCCAGGATGTTTCTTGTCCTGGAGAATCACAGCATCACTGGATCACTGAAGTCTCAGTTGTGACCAGAGGCCAAACTGGAGTTATTCTGTAGCTTGGCTGTAGGCAAGAGAACTAGGCTAACCAAATGATCTCTCCCTAGAATTGTGTAGCATTGCTCCCAACACCCTCCCCCAGCTCCTCCCCACCTGGAGTGTGAGAGAGACTCACTGCTGTCCTTCCTAACAAACCTGAGGGCTGTTTCTGCACGAAGTCTTCATCCTTCCATCCGGTACTGGGGCAGACAGACTAGCTCCTTGACATCTTCATAACAACAGCCATTTCCTACAGACCACTTGGGCCCCTCTTTTTTTTTTAACCGTCACATAGTGGGCTTTGTCCTCATCCCAAACTGCACCTCCCTGGCTGTACCTTGTCCACTCGACCTGGTGGGAGCCGATCTGACTCATCAGCCTTCTCTGCTGGTGACCTCTTTTGTTCTCCTAATTCATCAGCTCTGTCCTTCCTTCACTTTCCTCCATGTCCACCCTAGGCCCCAGGGCCTAATTCTTTAATTCTTGTCACTATCCCAATCCTCTTTGCCTCTCTACCGTTTTATCAGATGTTTCTGGCAAAAACTCAGCAGTGAGTGAGTTCTATCTGCCTTCTTGCACCTGTGCTCAAGCAACCGAGTGACTTCACAGGTCACATGGATCTTTTCTGATGAAATGAATCAGTGAGTTAAGCACTGAACAGAGAAGTACCTGGCTTGGTGGGAAGTAGGATGTATGCATAAGTTGGACAGGGAGGGCAGAGGTTCAGCTTCACTATGAGGCAGCAAACAGCTCCCTGGGCCTGCTGAGGTTCCTGGGGCCTCCACTCTTCCTGAAAAGTGGGGTGGAGCCATGGGGGCTCCAGACAGTGCAGGCCGTGGGATTCAGAAGTGCAGTGGGGCTTCGGGTGAGAGGCTGGGAGCTGCACAGGTGCCAGTTAGGGACTCCTCCAGGCTTTCAGGGGCCCCCCCGCAGGCTGCCAGCACCACCTATGCCTCAGGGTGGACCAGGCTGCCAGAGCATGGCCTGGGATTTGAAGAAATACAAACCTGGGTCTGAGTAATACTCAGGGCACTTATTAGGTGTATGGTGCTGAACAAATTACTTCCTTTCTCTAGGCCTCAGTTTTCTCTTCTGCAAAAGAAGATAATACTTTGCAGGATTGTAAGAATGACATGAGGCTGTGTTCATAAAGTAGGTTCTTGGAAATAGAAGCTATTTCATGATTACTAGAATTAGCATAATCAAATCTCAGTAGCACCAGTTTGGAGAAGCATTTAAAAGCTAATCTCACCAAATGTGGTGGCACATGACTGTAGTTCCAGTACTTGGGAGGCTGAGGCAGGAGGATTGCCCTGAATCTAAGGCCAGACTGGGCTCATAATAAGTTCAAGGTCAGCCTGAACTAAATAACAAGACACTACCACTAAATAAATAAAATAAATGCTAATCCCACCAAGTCCCATACGTATCCTGGTTAATCCTCAGTTACTGTCTGAATGAAGCCCCTCTTTCCTCATTATCCAACCTCCTTCTACACATCTCCTCTCCTGGTGCAACCTCCCAGTTTGCCTTCCCCAACCTCTTACAGTACTCTCAGCCTCTTCAGACTTCCTCCTTCCAGTTCCTGCCTGAGAAGCAGCAGCAGTGCACACCACAGAGCAGTGAGGCGGGGCAGCACCTTCTCACTTTCCAAAGCCACTCCCAGATCATTATCCCTGCTCACTTAAGGCTCATGCCATCTGGCTCTTGCAATTCATTCATGCAACCAAGATTTATTGAGTGCATTTCTCCCTTCACCTCCCATCTTCTTTTAACAGGGATTCAGGTGACTTACTAAAAGCAAATAAACAAACATAATAAAGGGTGTGTGGCATGTAGTGGAGTGTCTACAGATTTGTAAATAAATGAATACATTTTAAAATATTTCATAGAGGTTTACCTCTTCCCAATTCTCCCTTCAGAGGTAAATTTTATCTCACTTAAACAAGGAAGTATATTAGTTTTATGCCTCTCGAGTTGTTCAATCAGAAACCGATCCACCATTTTAGATGTTCTTCTAATCTCTTCCGGGGGGTCACATTTCATACTGTTGGTCACCCACAGAAACAGGAGCTGTACCTCTGCTCCCTCAGTAGGCCCCGGTGGCTCCTTACTCCTTCATCATATCACCTTTTTATTCTCCCCAAGACAACCACGTGAGCCTGAGCTGCCATATGTGACTTGCTTTAATGAAGGGCAGTGTACTTAAGAGGATTATGCTGGCCGAGGTGATGCATGTCTATAATCCCAGCTGCTTCGGAGGCCGAGGCAGGAGCTTCACAACTTTGAGCCCAGCCTGGGCAATTTAGTGGGACTTTGTCTCAAGATGAGAAATAAAAAGGACTGGGAATGTCGCTCAGCGGTAGAGCATCTCTGGGTTGGGTTAGGTTGAGGTAGGCTAGAAGAAATCAAAAGCAATCGAGCTGAAACAGGAGCACCTGACGCAGGGCTTTATTGGGGAAGGAGCTGCTGGGCTGTCTCAAACAATGGTGAGAGAGAGCAAGAGGTTGGTGAGGCAGAGTTTATACAGGGTTTTGTATTTGGGAGAGCATCGTGGAAGGGGCAGTGATTGGTCGTATCGTTGGGGCGGGTGACTGAGTTTAAACTTATTGGCGGACGAGTAGCAGGGCAGAGTGACAAATTCAGTTCCGCCTCCCAGAGAGGTCAAGACCCGTTTAGAAGAAGCGGGCGCCATTTTGAGTAATAGACCTCCCTGTGGCCATTTTGTCTAACAAATAAAGCTAGATAGAAAGGAGACACTCATTTTTTTGTCTCCCTTATTATCTTCAAACTTTGGGTTAGCTCTCTGCTCAGTTCTGCCTCTAGGCATGCTAATCACTTAAGGAGTGTCTCTATTGCTAGGATTATTAGCCCTAAATTTACCAAGTCTATCTCATCTCCCTTCAAGACTGAGTACACCAAGACAAGGATCACTAAAATAATTTTCAGGATGCAGGGACACACAATTGGCAGCTTTTACAAGTCCTGTTCTAGCCTCCCTGTGATGATGC